GAATTTAGCAAGATGATGATGATGATGATGCAGCAGAAGAGGTGGTGGTGGTGGAGGAGGAGGAGGAGGAGGAGGAGGAGGAAGTAGTAGTAGTAGTAGTTAAGACTGATTTCTCCTCCAAGGCATTTCTACATCATTAATTGTGCCCAGTTAATGGAAGAGGAAACAATAGCCAAACTTCAGCTAATTTGTGTCCACTACAGTAACGGAAACAGTTACAGCGATTTCAATAGATGCCAATCAGCTTTGTTGCACAAGCGGCCTCAGACGACTGCCTGCTTTAGGGGGAAGGCTGCAAAAGCCCCAAACCCATAATGACCATTGGATGCTGAACCCCAAGCCAGGCCAATCTGAAGCGCACCTCACAGGCAATGGCCTGGGTTGAACCACAGGTTGACAGGCGTGCGTATTGAAGCACAGGGCCACAGTGCAGCCTTCTTGCAAATAACGGGAGAATTGTTTTGTTCCCGTCCTGGTTCCGACAATTCTGTTGCTTCTAGGAGAGAAGCCAGCCAACGGAGCTCAAGAACCTGCATCAAGTTTCTAGGGCACCACTGACACCCAGAACTGAAGCTGAGCTCAGAGTAGCAAATGGGATGCACGGAAAGGACTGTCACATAATCAGAATTCATGGATATTCCAGCAAGATGTGTTCAGCAGTGAAGGAAACCCTGCAAGCTGTGCACACCGGTGGGAAGGCAATTCCATATCCAATCCTTACACATTGTTTTGATTATGGAGGCTATCCTACACACATTTAGACATAAAAAAGACTACAACATTGCTGGACACTGTACAGATTTTTCCTGTCAAAACCTGCATAATTAAGAAAATAATTAGCTCCTTCCTTTCCTTCTGTAGTGGGACACAAGAAGGGCATAAAAGTCCACATGTATTTCAAGCCAATTTCCTCTTCCAGCAACAGGATCCTTTAAACTGCAAGCGCCACTGCCCCTTTGCAGTTTAAGACGATGGCAAGGTGGGAAAATTAATCTCAAAAGAGTGCACCTTCAGAGGTGCCCTTCAGCTACAAGATGTCCCTGAGTTGCTGTTTGAATTGTTCTGAAGGCACACCTAGTCATTTGAAAAGACAAGAAAAGAGAAAGACACAAAAATGGTGCTTTCATTGGTCTCTGGTTAAAATATGTCTAGGAAGAAGCAGCTGCTAAAATCAAATTTGATTTTTGAACCACACACAAAGCAGCTGTGTGGGGTGCATAATAAAGGAAAAATTCATTGTTTACTGAAACATTTCATATTTTGCTCACCAATAAACCAAAACAGAATATGAGAGACACTAACTGATATCATCTCTAGTCTTCTCAAGTTCATATCACCAACCTGGTTAATATTGTGTTTCCAAGATAAGAAATTGAATTAATTCATGCTAATTGTAATTCCATCTTAAGAAGAAAATGTTAATATTGGGTTTGTGCATTCATATCAACATTAGCAGCAAAGCATATATCAGCACAGGTGATGGTAAGGAACAGGCAAGATGGACATGCATACAAATCATCTCCTCCCTTACTTCCAAATGAATGAAGGAGACACTATTGGTAATAGCAAGTAAGCCATCTTTCATTCCAAGGCACAAAAAGTCTCTTACTGATCTCCCTGTGGTCCAAATCAGCAGAGCACCCCTGTTCCGCACAGAAAGCTGCTGACTTTCAATGTCTCTTGGCCATTGCCATGGATCTAAACCACCTTCACCCAGCACTAAACTCAACCCACTTTCTACAAATGCTGTGTTACAGCTTATGGCTGTGAAGTTCAGGTGAAGTTCAAGTGGCAGAAGTGTTTTACAACATCAGTAACAGGGCTATCACTATTAAACCCAAAAGGAGGTGTGGAAAACTAGGAAAGGAAAAGTGACAACTCTAGTGTTGTTTCGGGGGAGATGTTGTGGCAGGCAGCAGACCCAAAGTGCTCCCTCCCTTAATTCCTACGGTTTATTACTAACACAGCCTTTTCTGCCCTGGCCCCGTTTTTTATGGCCAAGGCTGTGCGTCAGCTTCTCTGCTGTGCACCACTGGCACATCTCCGGCCCTCCCAAGCAAGGAAAAAACGGGGAGAACATGATCAGCACCCAGGATGAATTAAAAGGATGGTCAGAAATGGAGCATAGTTCTCTTGTACTATTGCGGGCCCCATCAACACCCTCTTCCTTCCAAGCCAGAACTTCAGCATGGGCAGCACCCAAGGGAACAAGAGTGTACCACCATCCATTGCCTACGCTGCTCAAAAAATCCCTCAATTAAGAAGCAGCTGCTCATCCCAGAAAGTGCAGGAGCACTGACCCCCTGGCAGGTAGCACAAACCCACCTCACCAGGATTCTCCAGATGGCCGTGCTCCTTCCCCAAATGCTGATCATTTGGTTCCCCCATTATAAAAGTCTGAAATCTCTCTCTGAAGACTTAGTTCCTGGCAGTAAGAGCTTTAAGCTACAATGTGCTGGTCCTTTGGCCCCAGCCCTTTTTCCCTTTGCCCTCCCCACCTGCCAGCACAAGAATGCAACCCCTGAGAGCTTCTCCAAAACAGAGCTTGGACCTGGGGCTGTAAGAGGTGTAGAAGCGCTACCATGAGGCTACCTGGGACACGCTCACGTTTCCCACTGGGATGGGCACTCGAAGCAGCCGACGGAGTAGTGCACATTTCCCTCTCACTTCCTCAGGCCCCACCAGCTTGGGCTCACTCCTCTTTCCGCACTTCCAAGGAAATGGCAGATGCCTGAGAAGGGATGGAGCTAATCAGAACTCCCAAGCCCAGCTTCTGTTTCCCAGCCACAGACTGCAGCAGTGCCTGGACAAACAACGCTGTGCCAGCATCCGAATGTGCTACCTCAGATGCTCAAGGAAAGAATCTGCATGCAAAGCCAAGCCTGGAGCTTGAGATGGGGGCAGCAGGGCAAACGCTCTACCCATGAAAGAACAGCTGTAAAGCTGGTTCTCATTTGAGTAGACGACACTGGAATGCCACTTCAGACCTTTTTAATTACAGTTTTAACCACTGCAAAATTGGAAAGATGTGTTTAATAATGCCTTGAGTCAGAAAAATCTAATTATGTATAATGTCTTATCAGGGCGTGTGGTGGGTTGCTCGCATGCAAAGAAATGACACCTTTCATTTTAAGTCCTATGCTGCCCCCTAGTGCAGAATTCTAGTAAGTAACCCTCTAGCAATACTTCGGTCTCAGCAGACCAAGGGTTGGATTCAGAGCACTCCTTTTGTGAGAGGAAAAGCTGCTTACAGAAGCTCCCTCCACCCAGTTTTTGAGGATTCCCCCACACATACAGCACAACTCACCCCCTTCAACTGAGACTACTGTCTCTCTGGGTAGCATTTCTAGGGAGCTAGAAGAACTGTTGTGGGAAGGAAAATGTGAGACAAGTCTGCTTCCAACAGTGCAGCTGACACAGTGTAAATCCAGATCCAACCATCACAGGCTTACCAACCAGAATTTATATTTTCACACCCTCGATAATAAGCAAGATGCATCCTGCCCTCCCACCCTTTTTCCAGCAAACTGCAGAAATTTATATCCTGGCTAATGTAAGACACCTGCAGCCAAGTAAGTTGCAAGTAATGACTGCTTCCTGCATCATATTTCTTCAGGTATGCCTATAAGAACATTGTACTTTTCAAAGTGGAAATGCCACACAGACACTTCTGACACACTCAAATCACAGGGCGCTGGGATAGGCCATCTAGTCTGACCTCTGGCACCAGCCGACTTGAAGGCAAGCCGTCAGCAGAAAGGTCTCTGATGATGACCGTAAGATCCTGCTTTTGGGGCTAGAAAGACTAGCACTGGTGGCAGTCTCCAGGGACACACCCAGTTCACACTTGTTTGCAAGCCCGGTTTTGCTGCTTGCGATACACTGTCCCTAACAGGGCATCCTACCAGTAGCACTGAGAAGAAAAGGAGCACTGCAGAGGAAATCCTTGCTCAGAATTGCTGGCAGCAGACAGAGGAGACTGGAATAAGATTGACTGGTCTTGCCTGGACAGTTAAGACCTTTTGGCTTTACGAAAGACCTGCTCCTCAGTGTATTAAAACTGCTACAACTGGTTTGTTGGTAGTAGAGGACTCTCCTTGGGGGTACGGCTATGGGGGACTCAGGGCCTGCACTTCCAAGGTTCATACTCCTCCTGAGTTCCAGCTAGGAAAAAAATGCTGTATAAATGCTTTGCCCCACTTGACACGCATGGGAAACCACTTTAGCTGCAGGGATGTAGGCCTCCAGCAAGATCACTCTGCCCGAAAAAAGTATCTACAGGGTTGACCTCTCCCCAAGACCATCCATCAGTCTTCACAGTGTGATAGACGTAACCTTACAAAAGGCAGTCATTTCCAGCACCAGAAGAATGCCACAAAAATAGACAGCGTGCTAACACCATTACACAAATCTAAGCCCTGGAGCTGATTGCCATAACCAAGGTGCCTCTAACTATACCAAGGACACCATTTTGAGAAGACAGTTGACTCTTTTTCCAGTTGGTTTTTCCAGCTGCACAGGACACAATTTTGAAAATATGTGAATTTCTAAACATATTTTTTCAAACTATGCAATTTGAGAATACATTTTGATATTGTGTGTAAGTGTACTGAAAACACTACCACAACAGAGATGTGTGTAAACTAGAGGTTAACACCACTGAAGAGAGCGTTAGCCTGGGAAGTGCAAGTCAAATCAGCTTGTACTGTACTTCAGAAAGACTAAATTCCTTACGTGGCACTACTGCAAAGCAGGAAAGTATTAAACTTATGTTATTGATTTTGCTTTACTTCTCACCATTTGTTGCAATGCTGTAGAAAAGTATATCAAAGCAATGAGTAAGAAAGCCACACTTCCACAACAAGTTTAACTGTTATATTGGATCTCTGCAGGTAGATAAGTAACCCTGCTTGGGCAGGCGCTACTGTGGAATTTTAGCTGTACATAAATGGAGATAAGAAACGGGAGGCAGAAATGGAGAAAGATAACATGCCCCTTACCATGAAAAACGCCATTGTCCACCAAAAAATGCCTGCAGTACTGCAAACAGCTTCTCTTATCCGAGTTCCAATAACTCATTGTTAGGAGACTCTCTTCTCAGCATCAAAAAAAATTATCCTGCAAAATTAAAAGTGGAGATAAGTGTTCGTAATGTGAAAGTAATCATTAAGTAGAAAAGGAAGAAGAAGCCAGTTATTTGAGTCCTAATGAAGGAATTGTTTTGACCATTCTTTCTACCCCCTGCAAAAAATGTTCTTCTTTACTCAAAATGCTACAGTAATTATTGTGTAAGGCTCAGCCACTTGTAATGCCAGTAATTAATCCATCATAATTACACTTCTCCAAAGATGAGAAGCCAATGGTACGAAAAACAGGGACTGATACTTAATAATGTAGATAAGGAACTTTATTTGCTACAGACCCATAGAAGTAAACATTCAGCTCCCCACTAAATGTAGGATCTGCAGTGTAAGATAAATTATTCCTGACAGTCACTCTACTTAAATACCTCTCTCACAGGAGAGCCCACCACCCTCTTTGGGTGTTCTTCTCTGTGATTGAACAGCTCTTACTTCAGTAAATTTCTGCTAACATTTTAATGAAATCTGTTCCTTTAAATCTTTAAACCTTGGTTCTAGTCCTACTTTCTGATGCAAAAGAGAACAAGTTTGTTTTATTACCAGGGTGACAGCCCTTCAGATACCTCAATCATATCTCCCCACAACCTTGTTTTCTCACTGCTAGGCATAACCAGCTCCTGATTTCCAAGCCACTCACCACCTGGTGGATCTTTATATGCCCAGTCTGACAAGCCCTCTTTTAAATGTGGTACCCAGAACTGGTCAAATTATGGAATATACTCTAGCCATGTACACAGAAGCCACAGAAGTTGATAGTGAGATATTCAGGTAGATGAATCCAGTACTTTCTCACTCTAATCACAAAAAAACATATACCCTGATCCAGCAGTCCATTTCATTTACAAAGTCTCTAACAAACAGATAAGTAAGTAACCTTGATTTTTGTGTAGCAGAATCCTTTAGAAAAAGAACAACAAATAAAATACATTAGAGAAATAACTTTCACACAAACAACAATATTCTAGCAAGCAGAATTATTCAACTAAAACATTCAGTTTACCACCATTACCAAGCCTTTTCCTTAAAACTGAGATTCTAAAAGCAAACCAGGCCATCTTTTCTGAAATATAGGGGGAACTATCCCCCAAAAAGAAATTAATCAAAGACTTGACAGGCCTGTTGAATGAAAGATCTTGATCTGTAAGCAAGGTTTCTCTTAAGAACTGGATTGTCAATCCAGTAGTGTGGCAGTGGCACATTGGACCTATAGGGATATACTTTCTCTTATTCATTTATTTGTTTGTTTGTTTGTTTAAAACTTTTCTATACCATCCGACTACAACAGTCTTGGGATGGTCTTACAATAAAAACAGTTTACTATAGTATCCAATACATCCAATAAATAAAACCCACATTAAAACCTAATCCACCTTAAAACAATGGATGAAAAAAAGGCGCTGAAAGGAATATAGAGTTGGCACCAGGCAAACTCTCTGGGGACCATATTCCATAGCCGAGCTGCCACCGCCGAGAAGGCCCTTCTCCGGGTAGCCACCCTCCTCATCTCCTACCCAAAGAAGGGCCTCTGCACCAGTTCTTTGGGGAGGAGGGGACGGTACATAGAGGAGATGCTCCTTCAGATAACCAGGCAATAGAATTCCAGTTTTTACAGCTTAAGCAGAAATATCTACCAATATTCATGTGTTTACCAGCAGTGACATCATCTCAGATGTAGAATCTTGCTGACCAAAGTGCTAAGGAGACCGGATAAGATTGTTCCTTGGATAACTTCATTAGCTTACAGTACAATCCTATGCACATTTCGAAAGAAAAAAGTTCTAAAAATTCCATCATTATGTAGCCAGAATGCTAACCCTTATACTGATAAGTTCAGGAAGCATCAACTGCAATTTTCTTCTCCTGGTTGCCCTTGTTTGTTTGTTTGTTTGTTTGTTTGTTTTCCTTTCCAGACATTTCTGGGCAAAATGGGTAATCTGGAGCAAAGATGTGGGAAGGCTGTGCTTAAAATTGCAGGAAGAATGCCCGTCTCAGTGACACCGTACACACTGAAATACACATGCTCTCCCTGCATGCACACTGCAGGAATGGGCACTTTGCAGTTAATTACAATAGCTCTAATGAAAATGCATGGTAAGCAAGCACTTAAACAAGGTGTATATGAGGCAAAAGATGTATATGAGGCTGCCATGCTTGTGCCAACACTGAACCAGCTAAATAATTCTTAGAAAACAATTAGCCCTTCAGTGCCTGCCACAATTTCTACCATTTGTCTATTGTGCTGCGGCAACAACCTCAAACAATGCAAGCAATTGTAACTATTATTTCAGGGACTAACATATAACCCATTACGAAGCTGATCATTAGATTTCTCTCCACAAGGCTTCCTTTGTCCACATCATTTTATTCAAATCATTTCTGAAAACTCTGTAGTCCTTCAAATGATGCCTTGAAAAATCCATCTTATGGTAAGAGGGGCCTGTTATGGGTGATACATTAAAAGTCAAGTTTTCAAGGTCATGAATGAATGTTCTTTCAAACTGTAGGTTGCTCGGGAAGTACTTATTATTATTATTATTATTATTATTATAACATTTCTATGCCGCCCCTTGCCGAAACCTCGGGGCGGCTTACAACATGATAAAATACATTGAAATACAATAGTACATAATAAATTACCATTAAATATAACAATACAAAAAATACATTGATTTACAAATACAAAATTAAAATTATCAGTATAAAATAAAAATATAGGAGGAGAAAGAGAAGGAAGAAGAAGTTGCCCAGGCCAGATCATATGTTTTAACAATTGAAATGATGTTTAAATAAAAAGGTCTTTACCTGGCGCCGAAAAACCAGTGACGACGGTGCCAGGCGGACCTCTTTGGGGAGTGAATTCCATAGGTTGGGCGCCACCGCAGAGAAAGCCCTCCTCCGGGTACTTACTCTCCTAATTTCTCATTTGCCAGTCAAACAATTGGTCCATCTAGCTCCGTACCGTCAGTGCCAACCAGCAGTTGCTTGCCAGAAGTCTTAGACAGGCGTACTTCCAAGCCCTACTAGAGATTCTGGAGACCAAATCTGGGATCTTCTCCATGCAACACATGTGCTGTGCCACTGAGCTACAGCCCTTCTCCATCATGCAGATTTCAAGAAAGAGAAAGGAGTGGCTAGAATTTTTTCCAGAAAAATTACTCAGGAAAGTTAATCCGCACTGAGATTCAGAACAATGAACCCCTTGAATTCAATATTATCGTCTGTGAAAACAGGAGAGGGGTGTTTTCCTGTGCTCACCAGAGATGCCATTTAAGGGAAGGAGTTGTCTCCTCTTCTCTATTCCAGGCCATATGCAAGTGTTTCTTGAGACCTCTCTTCCCACAAACTTGTTCCTTTTCCCTTCCCAGCCGATCAAGACCAGAAGCATCTAGCTGCAGTCTTTTATTATTTTAAAGTTGACCAACCAGGATGGGCTTTGTGATACAAAGTGAAAAATATAACAATCTCATTAGCAAGATGTGTCCACCAAGTTAATATCACCATGCCACAACAATTTCCATGTCTTCACAGCTGAACACTGCTGAAACAGACCAGGCCCCTTTAAAGGAGAAGGCCTCAGTCCACAGGGAATCAAGGCTAACCAGCCTAAAGGAAGCCAAAACTATACTTAAGGCTGAGTCATAATTCGCTCCCTGTTGGAGCAAACACACCAGAAAGCTTGTCTGGGTTCCAGCTTTTGCATCCTTTGGAGACCCCTGTGGTGCTGCACTGTTTCCTGCCTCTCTAGAATCCTCACTCCCACTTGGTCAGATCCACCAAATTTGACTTGCTGCACAGCCTCACCATTAATAGGACCTCATTGTGCCCACCAGTGGCCTGGCCTCCTCACGAAAACAAGGATGAGTGGCTGAAACAGAGTGCCCTGTTTTTAAAAATTGAATGTAGATCTCTAGTATGAATTTTGAATTCAATGGAAGAGTACACCTTCCAACACTGCGTGCTAGGAAAAATGTGCACACACGTGCATACACACAGATTGGGCAGGCGGAGAAATTTCAGCAGGAAAGAGGCTTTCTGGATACACTCTCAAGCATCCCAGCTGCCTTTCCTGCCCACTCAGCCTCGTTGGCTGAATTTATTGCCATGTGACTGGCAAAACTGCACGATGAGATGTACTGTGCAGATATGGCCTTTATCTTGCCATCAATATCATGGAATGTTATTGGATGTACAAGCAACTATTATATTCCACTTGGAAGCCTGCACTGTTTTCCAGCCATTTTTTTTTCATCTTTTTAATTACTGCCTGATTTTTTTAAAGTCAGAAATGCGACATGGGCCTTCCAATTAGTAATGTGAAGGAGCCTCCCATCTGGAAGCATCCATACTTAATTTTGACAAAACTACTGCCAATTGCTGCATAATGATCTCCTCGAAAACTTCCCAATGATCAGACAGAAAAGGAAGCTATCTAAAAGTGATTTCAGTGACAGGATTTATTTACAACATTTATATACTGTTCCACATCTAACACATTCTAAGCAGTGAACAATAAAAAGAGGACACATAGAAAGCATCCTTAAAACAAAACCCATTATGGAAGTGCACAGCTTCTGTTAGCCTTGCCAGGGGGAACATCAACAAAGTCTCTGTCTGTGACAGATATGGGTTGTAGGGTGGCATACAGACTGCTTTTAAGGAGGGCTGGAAGCTTGAAACTATTTTTGATGCAAAGTCAAAACAAATCAGGCAAGCCCTTCAGTGTGTCCATCCTATGCACATATCTTAAAACTCAGTCGATTTTACCAAAGCAGCAGAGGAACATGCAATGACTCGGTAGCATCTAGAGATAAATCAGCCATGACTAAGTCATAAGAGTCAGTCAGGCGTAGTGGTTAGGACTGCAGGACTGGGACTCAGGCGATTTGATTTCGCCTGACTCAGCCATGGCGCCAGTTGGATGACTTTGGGCCAGTCATG